AAATGTACGATTTTAAGAAAAAAGAGGTCCACCCTGAACCTCACCACCAAACCTGCCAGTATGCCGTACACTGAAACATAAAGTACCTACGAATTACCCTGAGACTGTGTTGGCATCTGTATATAGTAATTTAAATGTGTTTGAATACAGTGAATAACATTAATTGAATGCTAAAGCAGTTTCACATAGTGCATAAAAAACACCCATACACTACACAATTTTCTGGCTTCCCAAGGTGTTCTGGATGTTTTCATGCACACAACACTAGGGAAGTAGAGTAAGGTTTGATATTTTAAAATCAGTGGAACTGAGAGAAATCGAATTCCATGATCCTGAAAGCAGCGTTTGTTGTTGTTGTTGTTGTTGACATTAGTTGCAGAGGCAGCTCTTGAGAACCAATTAGAAACATTATTGCAAATTATTAAAGTGACCTTAGCCGGGTCGAATCACATAACCTTTGCAGGTGGGGTCAGAATTGAGCTGGTGGGAGGATTAAAATGTAAAGATTGTATGATTCATGATATGACTTTGGTACTGTTCATCATTATAGCAGTCATGTCAAGTATTTGTCAACTGCTCCTCAGTTGACTATCACTTAATGGTAAAAAGAAAATACGTCTTCACTGGCCAGTGAAATCTGAGTAAAAAAAAGCCTTTGGTGTTTGGATTTAAAAAATCAATTATATTGCTATAATTCATTACCCAACTGAACATGCCTGGAGCAATCAGTGCATTTGTGTGTGAGTTTTAAAAATGTCAGTATATATATATATAAAAAATAAAAACATTGATTAGTTTTACTTTTTTCCTTACTTAACATTTCATAAAAAAAACTATTTCTTAAATAATTTTAATCAATAAGCAAACTTTTTTTTCTAGCTCCCAGTAGCAACAGTTTTGTCCTTTTAACAGCCTATGATGACACAGAGAGGAAATGCACCCGGTGCTGCTGTTGCTACAGTTACGAATGTAACTTTCACCCGCATGTATCGACTACCAGTAAAAACGTGTGCTGTGATTCGCTTTGTTAAATTTTCTGCTTACCTAATCATAACTGTAACTTATTTTAGTGCTATTCATTTTAAAATGTGCTGACAATGTTACATTTTAACAGACACTATTCATCAACACTGTTCAACAACTGTTCAACAGTTCATGAAATGTTTAATTCAGATTAACTGAATTTATTTATTAGATAGCATGCAGTTACTTAAAAAAAGGTATGGTTTATTTTGCACCTTTTTCATGTACCCTATGAATAAATGCATTTGAACCATTTACTTTATACTTTCACGCAATATCAATATACCCATTTTAGGGGTCTTTAAAATAACATTAATTCAAAAAGTAAATCAGCCTATGGAAGCTTGTTTCTGCCACTCACAATTCTGACTTTTTTTTCTCACAATTGCGAGTTTACATTTCAAAATTCTTTTTTTCTCACAATTGCATGATATAAACTCGCAAAAAAGTCAGATTTGCGAAGTATAGGCTTGACTCGCAATTCGGAGGGGAAAAAAAGCAACTCTTTTTTTCCTCAGAATTAGACTTTGTAACTCATAAAGTTTGTATCTTATAATTCAATTGCAATTGAATTGCAAGAAAAAGTCAGAGTTGCAAGATATATTCGAGACTTGATAAGATCAAATGGAAATGAAAACGAGGAGCGAGATCTTACTTTGAGAGGGAAAGTGTTGGTAATAAATGCTGAGATTTTGGCCTCCCTTACCTTTTTGGCCTCAACCTTTCCAGCACCGATACATTAACATCTATCAGAAAGGCCTTGTTTTGTTTTTTTTCTGGGGCACACAACATGAAACTGATACTATACTGTATAAGCCATTACATAATTGAGGGCTAGCAGTCCCAGAATTGGGAACCAAACTTGGAATCCATGTTGATGCCCATTTTAAAAACTTGTTTGTTTGAGAATCAAGGAATTTTATGGCATTGTTTTGGGGGATGAGACTTCCACAAATGCTGAATTTAGACCAAATATGGGGTGTTACCCTTTTAAGGAAAGTGGAAGTCTCTCATATCCCTATTGGGAAAATAAACCGGGTAATTGTTCAAGGTATGCTATGCCCAGGATTAGAGAGGATCACCCCAGTGGGAAAATGTACTGAATCTGATTGCATTACAGCTTGGAAGAATGTAAACAATGTTTTTCTGTTTAATTCTCATAAAGATATTGCTTGGCAAGCGGTACACCAATGCTTGCCTATACTCGAGTTTTTCTGAAAAAAAGGGAATTGTTCACAATGTTCTAAGTTTAAGTGTGGAGAAGACGAGTTTATCAGCCACTTATTCTGGTCTTGTAAGTCTGGTCCCTGGTACGAGATTTCCAACTGAACTAGACCTTTTGTAAGGTGAGTTGAATAGTGTTAACTCTGATGAATGGATTAGATGGTGGACAGTTATTCATGTAATCAAAGAAGGGATATGGAAGGCAAGACATACACTCACCTAAAGGATTATTAGGAACACCTGTTCAATTTCTCATTAATGCAATTATCTAATCAACCAATCACATGGCAGTTGCTTCAATGCATTTAGGGGTGTGGTCCTGGTCAAGACAATCTCCTGAACTCCAAACTGAATGTCAGAATGGGAAAGAAAGGTGATTTAAGCAATTTTGAGCGTGGCATGGTTGTTGGTGCCAGACGGGCCGGTCTGAGTATTTCACAATCTGCTCAGTTACTGGGATTTTCACGCACAACCATTTCTAGGGTTCACAAAGAATGGTGTGAAAAGGGAAAAACATCCAGTATGCGGCAGTCCTGTGGGCGAAAATGCCTTGTTGATGCTAGAGGTCAGAGGAGAATGGGCCGACTGATTCAAGCTGATAGAAGAGCAACTTTGACTGAAATAACCACTCGTTACAACCGAGGTATGCAGCAAAGCATTTGTGAAGCCACAACACGCACAACCTTGAGGCGGATGGGCTACAACAGCAGAAGACCCCACCGGGCACCACTCATCTCCACTACAAATAGGAAAAAGAGGCTACAATTTGCAAGAGCTCACCAAAATTGGACAGTTGAAGACTGGAAAAATGTTGCCTGGTCTGATGAGTCTCGATTTCTGTTGAGACATTCAGATGGTAGAGTCAGAATTTGGCGTAAACAGAATGAGAACATGGATCCATCATGCCTTGTTACCACTGTGCAGGCTGGTGGTGGTGGTGTAATGGTGTGGGGGATGTTTTCTTGGCACACTTTAGGCCCCTTAGTGCCAATTGGGCATTGTTTAAATGCCACGGCCTACCTGATCATTGTTTCTGACCATGTCCATCCCTTTATGGCCACCATGTACCCATCCTCTGATGGCTACTTCCAGCAGGATAATGCACCATGTCACAAAGCTCGAATCATTTCAAATTGGTTTCTTGAACATGACAATGAGTTCACTGTACTAAAATGGCCCCCACAGTCACCAGATCTCAACCCAATAAAGCATCTTTGGGATGTGGTGGAACGGGAGCTCGGTGCCCTGGATGTGCATCCCACAAATCTCCATCAACTGCAAGATGCTATCCTATCAATATGGGCCAACATTTCTAAAGAATGCTTTCAGCACCTTGTTGAATCAATGCCACGTAGAATTAAGGCAGTTCTGAAGGCGAAAGGGGGTCAAACACAGTATTAGTATGGTGTTCCTAATAATCCTTTAGGTGAGTGTATTTCTTGCTTAAGGATATGATATACCAGCGGAAATAGTGGTCTCTTCAAGCTGTGTTTCAATTAGGTACTATGTGTTAAGAGAAAACTCTTTCCTTTATGGAAATACTTAAGAAATGTCAATGTTCAACTAATTCTCAGATTATTTTTTTTTACTTTTGGGATGAAATGGGGAAATGAATTTTGAAGGTCATGTTTTTCCTTTGGGGTTATGCTATTTCTATGATGTAATAATTATGTATTGTGTGGAAAATGGAATTAAACAACATATTTTAAGGCAAAAAAGGAAAATAAAAAAATAAAAAATAAAATAAAATAAAATAAAAAAGGCTACAGAGAATGGATTCCAAAAATACGTGATTACATTCCATGTTTATTAGGACTTGTAATGAATCCTTTCTGATCTGTTTTAGAAAAAAAAAATAAGTATGCGTAATGATGAACGGCACTGTTAATCCAACTAGACTGATTAATTTGGACTAAAGGCCAAATTAAGCTGTGTGTAAAAATGTCTTATTAAATTAAACAGGGTAATGAATTATTCTTTGAGTATATTTACATCAACGTGGAAAAGGACTTTCATCATATAAAACAAAAAAGATTATATCAAACTTATCAAGTAATTTTGCAGGAGAAATCAGGTTATCTACTGACAGTTAGGCTATGCTTCAGTAAAACCTTGTTTTCAGGTTGGTTGAATTCAGTTATAATCAGTAATCTTAAATCATTTATTTAATTTCAACAAAACCAGTTTTCAGGTTGGTTGAACTCAGCTACAATCAGTAATCTTAAATGATATCTTTCACTTCAACAAACCCAGTCATTGTAGATGTTACCACATTAAGTAAAATTTCTAAGTTGAACTGACGTGACGTGAAAATTCAGTGTAGTAGGCTATGTATAAGACCTCAGTTGTCTTTTTTGACATCCTTTGGGTTAAAAACTGGCACTTTGACCTAGTCTTTAACGCATGCCCATTTAAGGTGCTATTTATGTAGGCTAGTTGTAAACAATGTAAAAAGTATTAAAATTGTTACCTCAAGGATCTATTTACCTAATTTCCTTAAAATTAGGCTACTTGTTGTAACTTAATGTAAACAGTTTGATTCCGTCATGTTTCTGACGAATAAAACCAATTTATGTCACCACAAGAAGTACATTTTGTTTACCTGAAACACTTTTATATTTAAAATAACACATAACCACCACTGCCAGCCTTGTTGCCTGAGACCATGTCCGTATATATTTTTGAGGCGAGCGCAGCACATGAGTTGTTATGACAACTCCCGCGCAAATAAGAGATGCGCTGCGCGTGGTTTGCCTCAGTTCGGAGCGCGAGCCAATCATCTAGCCAGCTTCTCCTCTGATCACGAGCTGGATTTACAATTCCGAGCAGCTGCTTTAAAAAATAACTTGGAGCGAACGAAACGGTCGCCATGGGGCAACACGGCGCCAAGACTGTCGTGTTCCTTATTAGTTTTAAGGTGAGGATGAAGCAAGCAAGGTGAACATTCGCGCTAGACAAAAAAAACTGAACTACAAGACAGAAATGAGTTTGAGGTGCTGAGAAGATGTTGAGACGGACTCTATCTCGATCTGGAGAGAGGAATGAGGGACGCGCTGATCAACCACAGGCGACACAGATTCATGGCTCAACTGTTCCCAACTTCTGTTATAAGGCAGCTGGAATGACTCGCTTTTTACAAGTATGGGAAATACCAGTACAACGAAAAGATACAATATATTCAAATATATAGGCTACCCTTTTACTTCAATAGGCGCGGTCCGTTCTGAAGTTTTTCTATTTACTTCCTCAGGTTCCGTGAATAACTTTACTAACCAAACCTCGGAGAACAAGTTGTTCCGGGATGCCAGAAAATATCGCCTTTCTGACGAACAGCACAGAATTGGGGCACGTCGGTCGCGCGTTGGGTTCGAGCGCGCGTCCCGCCTGGGCAATAGCGGTGCTGGCCAGCGTGCTGATCTTCACCACTGTGGTGGATGTTTTGGGTAACCTGTTAGTCATCATTTCGGTGTTCAGAAATCGGAAACTGAGAAATGCTGGTGAGCTTTCATTTATCTTTATGGGCTAAACGCTCGTGCGTGCGCTCTTCATTGATAAAGTGATTCACGCGCCAGCGAATGGTGATACAGTAAATGAATAATGTACTAAATGACTTGTTTCCCCTTTACTTGACTCGAATCTCATTTGACATGCTGCCTTAAGTGTAAATTATACATGGTGAAAAAACGTGCATCTATTCTCCGAGATGCTCGCCTGTGTTTTAGGGTTTTGAGTTAGTTAAATGTAAACCATTTACACGTAGGCTATCTGATTTACCTCACTCCTGAATTATGGATTAATTTACTAACATCAGAGTGTTTACATAGTGTTAGTGGAGAATTACATTATATTGGTAAAAAGAAAATGTCTTGAAATGGGCAAAACATCATATGTAACCATACCCAAACAGCAAGTCTTAAGTCAGCTTGTTTTGGAAGTAGACAGCTAAAAGTTTGTTTTAATTAAAAGGCAACATTTTAGCACTGAATGTGCTCATGCATAAAGAAATTGAGACTTCCAGCAACCATATCAATATTTTTGTCACTCACAAGTTCTTCACAGTTTTGGGGAGAAACACCTTGTTTCAGCATTTTTAAGTCTGAGCTTAAGGTTGTGTTAAGATCACCTCACCTTGACCATGGCATGAAAAATTTACAGCAGCTTATCACTCTCAGCAGTTTGGGCTTCAAAGAATTATGACTGTTGGCATAACTGGATGTGTACATCAATGAAAAATCTGGCACCCTTCTGAGCCTTGTTAGACCTTTTATTTAATTGTAAATGGATGCGTTTGATGTTTTTGAATTGATGTTAAACCTAATTACCCACTCGAATGACCCCCTAACACATGAACAAAGTGTGTTTTCACACATAATCCTGTCTAAAAAAAATTTTTTAGGGGAACAGTCGAACAATTGAACGAGTCAAACTGCTGCAGGAGTTGTGATGTATGACACTCAAGGATTCAGAGGAGAGATATATTTAAGCTCTTTCAGTGTCTTTGACAATGTGTGTATATGCATGTGAGTGTTTGTGGGGTCGTTCCACACACCACTGATGCAACTGAGTGGGACTGCATTCAGAACCCCTTGACAGTTTGCGCATCTGCAGGGACATACACTCCTGGGCCAAGACAAAAATGGCAAAATATTTAGTGGTCTTAACCATTTTAATCGCAAATCACTGGTCAGGAAATTAGCAAGAATTACACAAATACTGTAGATAAAGTAACTTAGCACAGAATAGCCTTCCACAATTCACAGACAGCTTTTTACAGGAAGAAGAGCCAGTGTTGTTCCACTCAATGTTAATGGCTTACAACAGTTCATGAGTAGTTGAAAAATGTCTCCCAGTTCATTTGAGTTTAATGTGAGACCAAATTTGACTAGGGTCCAAATCTGGACACTGATCAGGGCAAAACATGATCCTGATGGACTTGTTCTCAAGCCACTTCTTGGTTGTCTTTGCAATTTGGACAAGAGCATTGTCTCGTTAAAAAAAATAACATCTGATCATTCCTCAGATAACAACTTTTCATTTGTGGGAAGCAAGCCATTCATGCAATATTCTCCTCTACTCCAAAGCATTAAATGGCTTTTTACAGTGAAGTAGCTGAAAAGGCTCCGCACTCAATGACACTCTTCCTCCATGCTTCACTGTGGTAGAGATGCATTTATTATTATATTTCTCAGCAGATTTTCAAAGACACCGCTCTGGAGCATCACCAACTCGTGTTTCTGCCCAAAACTTAATTCTGTCTTTGATGTTTTCCAAAGACAGCAATGCCTTTTTAAGTGCATTTGTTTAAATGTGGCTAATTTGCTGACCAATAATTTATGGTTAAGACAAATAAAAGCTTAGTGTTTAGACTTAGACTTAGACCCAGGAGTGTAAGCGTGGAGAGCACTGACACAAGATCTCGCTTCAAAGCTCATGCTTTTTCGCATTGAGCAAGAGCCAGACCTGTCTGCTTCAAAGGCGCACTAGCAGTCTTATATCACCCTCTTTCTGATAGACACTCCTGACTCTCTCTGCCTTCCCCTTCCAAAGCTATTCAAGCACATGGAGGTGGCATCACCAGCTCATTAGATTGAGTATGAATGCTGTCAGATTTTGCACGTGGTTTTTCCCCCCGATGGCCGCTGCGATTGCCGCTGTCTTCTCGCCTCTCGCCTGAGTGGATCTTCTCTGAAGGAGGAGAATTTGTTTCTTCATCTTTCAGCCTTTTGTCATTACTGGGGCCAATCAGGCATCTCACACAAGTAATAACACTGTCACTAACACCCAAAGAGGCTTTAAAACACCACGAAACTGCACAGAGAAAATGGGATATTTAGTGGTGTGCGCTGTGTGAACTAACAAGGGCAGAGAGCTGAGAAACAATGGAAACTGAAAGCCTGCAAGTGTCTTCAGAAGTGGAATTGTATGTTTCCAGAATCCTGTGTGCAGATTCACCTTGTAATCACCCCATATGAAGCATGGAGATAAAAGATTTATGACTGGCAAAAAAAAAATCTTTTACGATAACGAAGCACATTCTAATGAGAGGACGGGTATGAAAGAGACTGGATAAAAAGACTCTTTCTCTTTCTCTCCATGTGTTTCGCTTCTCCGTTTATAGTATCTAGAACTGATGCCATGCTTTATTAATCAGACTTCCATGTCGAGTTCACATTCAGGGTTACTCGTACAGCTGTCATTTGAAGGCACGTGGCGACCAGGGCTTCTGGAGGATCTCTGTCCGTTGGCGCCTCTCCCTTGCACTGTCCCCTGTGAGGTTATGTAATCGTGTTTCTAGAAAGGAGGTTGAGTGCCAAGTGAAGTCAGTTTCCTGGCAGGCCCCTGCTCTGCCACATGAGTATGGATGTTAGTAGTCAGCATGACCGTCAGCACATGTTTGTGAGCATTGAGGTATGTGTGTGGTGAATATGGCATCGCAAGCCACAGGACACCATGAAAATGAGACAGACTGAGTGTTTCTGTGCTGTGTTTGGGGAAGTGTATTCTTATCATTTTAGCTTGAAGTCAGACAAAATAAGACTTTAGGCTTGACATGAAGCCAAGACTTTGGAGAAGATTAGAGATCGCTAAATGACTGTGACTGGTATGATGTTAGCTGTAAGTTTTGATTAAGTCAGAGATCTGAGGTTCAGATTCATATTTGGACTTAAAGGGATAGGAAACTGTCATCATTTACTCACCCTGACATTGTTTCAATTTTGCATGTTTTTAAAAATATCTCTTAAGGCTGCATTTGTTTGATTAAAATTATAAAATTATAATATTGTAAAATATTATTACCATTTAAAGTAAATGTTTGTATTTAATATATATAAAAAAAAAATTATTCCTGTGATGCAAAGCTGAATTTTCAACATCATTACTCCAGTCTTCAGTGCCAGATGCTGATTTGCTGCTCAAGAAGAATAATTTTTTATTAGCATGGTTAAATAATGATAATATTAATATTTCTGTGTATCCCTGATACACCAATCCCCCCTCCCCCAGACTTTTCTGGATTGAATAGAAAAGTAAAAAAAAACTGCATTTGTTTGAAATATTTTTTTATAACAGTGTAAAATATTTACTGCATTTTGATCAATTTAATGCACCCGTGCTGAATAAAATAATTTCTTAAAAATATATATATATATATTATTGCGATTGTGCACTGTGTGTGTATGTGTGTGTGTGTGGGTGTGTGTGTTTTGCTCTGTTCCACACTTTTTGCTGTCTCTTTTTGCTTTCAACTGAAGAAAAAAAATAGATTTTATCTTTTACAACATAGGGATGAATGATTTTCATTTTTGGGTGAACTATTCCTTTAAGGAATCTTTAGAGATATATTGTGTTTGGTCCTTGTTTGTGTTCGGAGGGAAGTTTGTGCATTCATGCTTATTTCTCGGCCACAGGGCTATGCATGATTAAACCTAAATCGGGTCAGTGTCCATCCACAGAGTTGTCAAAGCCTCTCAGCATCTGTGGTGCTTCTCGTATAAGGTGTATATCTGCTCTCTCTCTCTCTCTCTCTCTCTCTCTCTCTCTCTCTTCTGCCTATCACGCGGGCAGACACAGACGCAGGGAGACCAAAGAAATTAACACCAATAGCAATGCGGATGAGTTTTTGTTTGTCTGACATTTAGAAACTCAAGAAGAAGTGGGAAAGAAAGGAAGAACAGAACCTTTCAAAGAAAGACTGCCATTCTTACAAATCCAAATCCCTTTTATATCTGTTTTGAACTCTTTGTGCATTTAGGACCCTTGGGCAATTCTGTTAGAAGGTGGGTTTGGACTGGAGAGCTGTGAATTGGAGGCATTGCAGGCTGAAGACTGTCTGAACAGTGTTCAGAGAGGGAGAGAGCAGCCCACCTGCTGTTATTTAGTGCCTGGACACCCTCCTCACAGGGCAGTAAAACTGTTTCCAGAAGCTACAAAGTTTAATGTGGCTAGGGTCTACTCTGAGGCAAGCAACGCATAGATTTTTTAGGCACTTTAAAGGCATTCAATACCAAGGATTTTAAACACAAGGCCTTTAGGACTGGTATGTAGCAGATGATTTTCTGCGCTTTCTGTTGTGTGTTCCTGAGAGTGATAACCTCAGGTCTCTGGTAAGAAGTCAACCTCGCTGTTTTTCTAGTATTTTCAAAATAGTAGGCTCTTTCTTGTTATACAATACAATTTGAACTTTATATCTATGAAAATCAACTTTTCAAGGTCAGGCATTTAAGCATAACTTATTTGCACAGCAGTGATTAAATGAACATGCTAAAAGCTAAAAAAAAAAAGGTAGTACATTTTGATATTTTTTTGCCCATGGCTCTTTTGAAAATTTGATAATATCATTTCATGGATTGTTTTAGAGATAAAACAACAAATACAACATAATGTTACATAATGTCACTTCCTGAACGATGTCATTATAGTTTAATGAAAGGAATTTAATGAAATATCAAGATAGAAAGGGAATTATACCGGTAATATAAAATGATTATTAGTCAAA